TGTTTCTGTAATAACCATGACAGATGCGCGCGTTAAGCGCGTTTTACCAGCCGTAAATACACATACGTGATAAGTAACCACACATACACATAGTAATACACATAAGTAACATACAGTAAATACACATGTAGATGTACAATGCAAATACACATACAAATGCACATGTATGTAAATACATAACATTAACATACAGTAAATACACATGTAGATGTACAATGCAAATACACATACAAATGCACAAGTATGTAAATACATAACATTAACATACAGTAAATATACATAATGCACACCATGCGAATTTATTCGCACGACCGAAAGAAATGCGTAACGATTGTTAAAATCGCAGCGAAATTCGCATAGCGTGGTTAACAGGGGACACACCATGCGAATTTCGCTGCGATTCTGACAGCACCGCATCAACCGCACGCACGTTTGTTTGCACCGCACACACACATGACAGACACCATCACACACACATCGTGTCCACATACACACACACAAGCACAGTGCACGCCCACACAACAACGCACACCGCAAACGGCGCGAAAACAATACCGTTCGCGACCTACCCACGTGCGGAGGATATAAACCAATTACTGCGAAGCGTTGCCGTCCATTTTTGAAGCTACCTTTCAAGGAGGTGTTAAATGATTTCCGCTCGATAATAAGTAAAGTGAGCTGATGTGGATCAGTATTTTTTTCCACATCTACCTGACTCCCGTGATGTGCTCACGAACAGGTGTAAGCGTAGTGTTATAAAAGCCTACGGCAGACCTCGGTTTAGGTATTGCTCGTCGTTGCAACCTGCAACCGCAAAGTGAGCGATGCGATGTTCCCGCGTGTTGCGCACACATGCGATTTCGCAAGTCAATTTTAGAGCAATTTAGAAGCGATTGGGAGTCGACGAGACGTGGCTCAAATTAAACAAGTTTCTGTTTTTCTTGCAACTTCGTCGCAAGCGACCAAGAATCCGCTACGGGTTGCAGTTGCACATGTCCAGCAGTACTAGCGATTTCAAGCAGTCAGATTTTTGGGTCAGGCGATTCAGACTCGCTAG